TAACAGATTTTTTTTAATTTTTAAAAATGCATTAGCATTTTCTCTTGCTCACACAAAAGTCTCAATTTACCATAAGACAGAAATTGAGCTCTGCATTTTTATCAATTATTTGAGTCATTGTAAGAACATCAAGCTCCACAGAAGCCACACGCTGCCACATAAATACAGCATATCCTTCAATGGTAAACTCTTCAGGGCAGAAACTGTCTTTTTTATGCATTACAACAAGATTACACTCAATCATCACAAGCTCACAGATGCACTCACAAACAGAAACATGCACAATTTCACATCAGTTATTCTCACAGAAGTATGCACACAGCTTCTAAATATAGCACTAAGCGTGCACAGACAGCACCTCCCACTGCCCATTTGGAGTCATCATTTTATGCCAAAGGTTGACAGAACCAGGGTGGGATTCCTTAGAGTCTAGACAGACCCTCTTTCATGCCCCTTGAGCTCTCCAGTTTGTCTCATTTCCTACAAGGACATCCACCCTCCCCATTTACACTCTCTCTCAGTGTTTCTTTGCACAATGCAGTACAACACAAAACAGTACAGCACAATGTCTTTTAAAAAGCATACAGCTGCTTTCCCTGCTGGGGCTGAAACTGCCCCAAGGTCCATCCATTACACAATGCTCAGCAAGCAGGACAGAAGATTGCTATCAGTCCTCCCCCAGCTGTCTTTGCCCTGATTCCTTCTAGATGCAAAATATATAACATATTAATTGGTACTGCAGGTGAGAAGAGCATAAAAGCAGCTAAGCTGTTCATCCCCTACCTGAGCAATGATCTCACATCCCCAGCTGGTGAGCGGATGGAGGCAGGGAACCCAGCTGCTCCCACATACGCTCTCCTTTCCTTGCACTATCAATTATTCACATAGGTTGCAGTGTCCTCCCTCTCCCTCCCTCCCTTTCTCTTCCGCTGCTCCCACCTGCAGATGAATGGAGAGTGAGCAGGTTGGTGCTGTCATACTTGAAACTAGAGATCATTGTCGATATGGAGGAGCCAGCCTGTGCAGCAACTGAGCTCTTAAGCAGAGAAGACTGGCCCTAGGGGAAGGGGCCAGACTGGCAGCTCCATAGGTGGAGCATGAGCAGCTCTGTACACCCACACAGTGCTCCCCGCACTTCTAATCCCAGACCTGCAGGGATGACCTTTAGAAATGAGAGGATCTTCATAGGGACGCTCATTTCCATAGCCTACTTAAGTATGATTAGAGTTATCTGGTGACAGTGAACTGCATAACATGAATTCATGTGTACAGATCAGAGGAGGAAGAGAAAGTGGTGGATTGGAAAAATCTGATAATCACTAAACTGTTTACTTGCTACTGACTTACTCCCATAGCAAATGCACTGAACGCGGATAATCTGAAGGGACATGATGATACACTATCTTCTAGAAATGCTTTTGGTAATTATTAGTTAGGAGAATCACCTGTGGACTGGAAATATTGTTTAGTCATGATTTTTGTAGAAAATCAAAGAATTTGTTATGTTGCACTAGTGTTAGGCAATGTTAAAATGAGTTCTGGCTGACTTAGATGAAGCAGTTTAAAGCATTTTGCCTCTGCACAGGGCTATTATCTACAGTTGAGTGAGTGCTTTCAATCCTTTTCAGAGCAAAATTAGGTTTAATCCTCCAGGTTAAATTAAGCATTCCATTCTGCACTGAAGTAACTCAGCCTTACTCATTCTGGTCCCATCAGTCTGATGGGGGAACCCCCTACTAGGTCATTTTTAAATGCCACAATAATTTCTTCTGTTAAACGCCCCCATGGCCATAGCCATGGCAGAGGCACCACAGGGACAAAAGAAACAGAATCCCAGCGTGCTAAAACAGCAGGTTGTTTTTGGCCTCTCTGAACTGTATAACCTTTCCCATATTTTGAATAAATAACTGCTGGAATTTGACCAGAAGTAACAAAGAATTTCCTCAAATTAGATTACAAAGAAAGGGCACACTAAAAATTGTTGGTATTGTAACTCCAATTGTGAGCAAATCTTCCCAAAACTGGGAGCTATTTTTAAGAGGGTGCTACAACTGTTTGTAACTGTAATTGTTTTTACTTATGCTCTTGTTTTCAAATCTTCAGGGATCGCTTTGTCCAGCTTTTTTCCACAGTTATGCAGGCTGGAAATGTTTTATTAAAGACTTAGCACTTTTTTGTTTTCACATGAGCACAGGAATAAACAAGTTCTATAAATAGAATGATTTCCTATGGATTTGTTTTGTGTAGTTGTTTTGGGTCTAAGAAAATGCGAATTCTGACTGAATCTGTTGGAGCACTTACAAGAGCCCTCTCTTGTGCTGGATCTTAGTGAGGTTCACTCTGCAACTTTTCCCTCAGTTAGGACACTTGCAGGAATTTCTTTTTTCCCGGTTAGATATTTTTATTAATTTTATAGGAATGTAATTATCTGGGGCAGGGTCTTCATGTCTGTCTATAAAGAACCTAGAAGAATTGGTTTCTATATAAGTACTTCATATAAACACTTCATGTTTGCTTGGCACCTTTATTTGAAGATATGTTATGGAGAACAATATGTTATTGAGAAAGGTCCCCATTACTAGCCCCCTTCCACAGATGGAGCAACTGGCACAGAGACATTTACTCTTGCTATCACCTAGTAAATCAGCAGGAGGGTCAGGAAAAGGAAACAACTCTCAGTCTGCCAGTACAGCTGGATAAGCAGCTTTAGCTGATTGCAATGACACTGATGGGGATAGTCCCGCTCTGATCAGCTAGTTGTTCAGATAATGCTAGTACTGGTGTAAGGGGCAGGACTGGAATGAACAGCCAAGGACAGCAATGAGATATGGCAGGACTTCCAGGTTTGGAAACAACAGTTATTTCAAATTAGTGAAATTATTGCAACTATATTGCAACTCCTAGTTTGCCTTAGCCTATTTTCAGGCTTTGACCTACATGGCCTGCCCAGTAGAACTCAAGGATAGGAGAAATATTTATTAATTTACCTGACTGTTAGTAGAGTGTAAGTTGGGGGAGATTTTGGCAGTAAAACTCCGGATATTTTTCACAGGGGAAAACAGAGAGGCAAGTCATTAGACTGAGGACAGACTGAGGAGCACATAGCTAAAAATATGGACATTGTTTAGGTTAGGTCAGCAAGTTAAACAGTTTGCAGGAATGGAATAGCATTTAAACAAGGAGAATAACAGCAGTCAACAGAACAACAAACCAATCAGACAGGGGGCACATGCAATGCTTTTGTGCTATTTATGCACCCACAAGTTTCCAAAATGCCAGTGGGACTGCTGTGAAATGGGTAAATACAATGATGTACAGTGCGGGGAGGAAGGCAGGTCAGACCTAGAGGGATGTAGTGTGAATGACGATAACGGGGAGAATGCCTGGATGAAAAGGGAATCTGAAGAGCTAGATTCTTCTTCAGGATTAGGGATAAAGTATCTCTTAATTTCTCTCTGTACAAATAAGATGAACCAGCTGGGATTATTTCCCACAAACTTCTCCTATCAGCCTGAAACTCTGAAGCTTTCAGAGATTTTTTCTTATTCTGACAGAGCTGGAAGGGGTTAAACGAACCTGCAATACAAACAGTGGGGACAGCAACCTCTGCCAGGCCACCTCAAGCTAGGGAATTCCTGGAGGTATTACATCACCAGTCCAGTCCCCTCTTCCTTGTCTGGAATTCTCTTGTTTTGGCAGGTTTCTGGGAAATGAGCAAGATGAAGCTGGCCCTTTAAATGCAGAAGCAGCAGCTTATTAGTGTGAACAGCACGATCCACTGCAGTGTTTGAGCTGGCTGGAAGCAGGGAACATCCACAAATTACTGTACCTTAAAACATTAGGGCAACCCAATGTGGCATATACCCCAAGATACAGAGGTTCACTAATAAATACATGGGGGATGGGGGTCATGGTGCCTATTTCGTAGATGTCATCAACACGCAAGATATTGTGAAATAATAGTGAAATATTGCAAAAAATATTGTGAAATATAGTCCCCAATCTAAAAAACTTGCTTTTCAAGAGATGCGAGTAACCAAGGGAGTTGCTTAAATTCACACAATAAATGTTTGTGGCAACTGGAAATTTAGACACAAATCTTAAAATACAAAGTGCCTTTCCCTGGTTACAGGAATGAGAGGACATTGTTACTTACATAAATTAGGGTAGCAAACAAACAACATGCAGACTGTTCACAAGTACTACATCAAGGGAATTTGGTCAAAAAGCACCCACCAGTTATTCCACAATAGGACATCAGGACACAGGCAAAGATCGTTCACGTAGTGCATTTAGGAGACAAAATCATGGATCATCTATCTGTCTATGAGCTAATAAGGACACAAAGAATAAGGAGGGTCTAGTAGTTTAACACTACTTATGACATAGCAGGGAACAGTTGATATTTGCTTTGATAAATATTCAGCATAGATAGTGTCTTAAAAAGAATCACTTCATGATATTCAGCAATAAAATATAGGAATCACACACTAACTCTAAACACCCGGAATTCTATTAATTAAGAATCTGTTTGTGGGATTTTTTGCTTATGGGAATGGCAAAAGATATCTCTTAGCATGTTAGTAATAGTATATATCATAATAGGGCATGGTTCCAGTTGGCATGTATGGGCTGTAAAGCATATGTGTACATATATTAATAAAATATATAATACATCCTGACTGTCAGCACTGCAGTAAAAACTACATCCATGGCTTAAAGTTTACTTGTTACAGAGCAGTGCTCCCCAAACTTTTTGGAGTGCTACGAAACATGTCTCACAAAATAGTGTTTCCATATTAAACCTAACTGACAGAACAACTGTGGAGAAATGATTCTGAGGACCAGTCTGCTACGCACTTCACTGACCTATGTCGTACTATCAGGACAACTCAGCACCACTGGAAAATTAGTCTGCTCAGAGCAATACGGGCAGTAAGAATTCAGTATAACTGCCAGACTGCAGTGAGCTGAACTGCTAAAAGAAGAAAATCCAGTACCTTACAGATTGAAGTGAAATCTGCATGGGATAAAAAGCATCCAGCCATTCTTAGACTGCTCTGTGACCACATGGCTGGACTAGGGAGCATCCAGCAATTTCTAAACTGCTGTAAACTGGAGATCTGGAATAAAGAACATCAGCCACCCCATGGTGGCACATAAAGCTGAGATTGGGGAAGATCTGACAATCTTCTAACTGCAAGTAGAGCTGCACAGACTAAAATACAATGAAAGGAGAGCAAGTTGTTCCTCTCAGAGAATATTAAGAACCAAACACATTTGTGGAATGAAGGGCAGAACTGTAATCTACAGTGGAACTCTATCAGGAAAGTTAGATTTACAGAGGCAGGAAACATTTATATTGCATTAGTGCTCAAACCCCAGCTGGCTTGGTCAAACTCTACGAAGAGAACCCCAGAAGAGCCAAAGGCTAAACCACAAATTTTAGGAACAATAATAAGAATAAGCAATTACTTTCTCATCCTGAAGAGCTTTGCACAGGCATGTCAAACATGGGGAATCAACTAAGCACAGCTTCTTTATTTATAACATCAGTTATTCCATCTGTCACACAGTAGGTTTTTTTTTTTTTGACTCATTCAAAGGCATACAATCAGTGTTGACTTGGAGAACACCTGGTTTTATTTTTCATCTTTTTCTGCATGTTTTTCCAGCTGTTTCACTTCAAATGTCTCCTATCAATCTGTCACACAAACCTCTCTACTACAGCTATTTCCAGGCAAAATTTCTCCAGCTAGACTGCCAAAGCTCACAGCCTTGCTTTTGCCTTTATTTTGGGTGGCAAAATACACCTACACCTATTGTTAAATCTACCAGTTTAAATACAACCTAGAAGAAAAACATTCAGTCTATAAATTAATAAAATATAAAATAGCATTAAAAAAGTCATCTGTGAAAAGATCTTGAAAAATGTTTTTTGTAGGACTTGTATTTTGGTCTTAATTACATGAAACAACCTATACATATTTTGCATGGAAATTAACGTATTTCTACCTTTCCCAGCTCCACGATGAAATGTGTTAATGTGATATAAACTTGTGTTGCCAGTTACAGATACCTTAAGTTTGAGATTTTAGATACTGCAAGATTAGCCTAACAAAGTTCCCAGTATCTAAGTATGCATGGAGACTTCACGGTAGGGCTGCCCGGGGAAAGCAGCAACCAGAAGCTAGCGCTGCAGAAAGCTGCAGTACTCAATACAATCAATCATTAAGGATTTTGCATAAATAATGATTAGCGTATCACTTGGTTTTTATGGTGCTCATAAGCAACTGAACAAATCACCTGAAGGCTACAATTCTTCTTCACCTTCACACATTTCTCATCCTGCCCCTCACTTTGCAAATATCATGAGGAGAACAGTAAGTGAACATGAAATTGTCAAGGAAGCAGTAGACTCAGCTCTTATACTGAATGCCCTTCATCTCTTCAAGATGGTCAAATGTACATTCCATAGCAGGGGCTGCAGTAGAAATTTAGGAATTCCCGGTGACAGTCCAAATTATTGCTGAGAAGCTGATGAGCAAGAGAATCAGGGTAAAAGTAGCATCACCATGCATCAAAAGTAGCTTGGAGACTTTGTCATTATCAATTAATTTACAACCAGGTGCAGACTGGTAACTTGTGAAAGATATGGGTATCACATACTATGCCACACTTAGAAGTGCAAGTAGTATTGGGTCCTGTAACAGTGACCCTGACAAGAGAGTATTATCCCCCCCCTCCCCTTTTCTATCAAGCAAGATCTGTGTTTGGAGGTAGCACAGAGAAACAAAGATACTGGAAAAGAATATATACCTCATTAATAGTTCCACTATATTTAAGGAAGCCTCCTCAGGCAAAACTCATGACCTCTTGTTCACCCAGCGTCGCATGCGAACTTTTCAAACAGCAAACACTGTCTCCTGAATCAATCTGTTATCTTTCGACTGTAAAGGAATTCACAGGAAAGCCTGAGGAATCAGATGTTGCCAGTATCCAGTGGACTTGACAATTCTTCTCAACAATCAGTAGCACCATCATGTGGATCATCTTTGGCATCAAATAAGACTTCAGTCCGATACAGATGTTCAGGAACTATGCCTACTCTATCCTGAAATTCTGTCTTCACTGGCAATCTTCTTATATTCACAGAATGACCCTTTGCAATCAATCATCACTCTTCTCCTGAGTCCACACATGGTGCGGAACAAACAGCCATATAAAAGTTATCACCATTAAGAAATTTTATTAATGCTGTCAGTACAAGCAGATATACCCCTAATTCCACATGTTGCATCTCCTGTTTTTTGTAGCCTACAGCCAACAGGAAAGCTGTCTCTCAGCACTGGAAGCCTCGAAACAACAGAGTACCCCTTACAAAGTATAGGAGTTGCAGTATCACTACTGCAGCTGTTTCAGGAGAAAGCAAAAACGGCATATTGCTTTCACAGTGTTGATACACAAACCAACAGCCTGGTCTGGCAATGATGTGGCATGGTGCTCTTTATGAGGCTGTTCTTGCAGCTGATGGCTGAGCTCAGAAACAGTAGTTCACCCCACAGAAACACCATCCAAAACATCTTTACAATGCCATGCTAGAACATACCAGGATAACAATTCAGATGTAATACTATAGGGCGTGCTCATGGCACATGCCAGAAGAAATTCATTATGATGTGCTCCTGCTAATTTGGCAGTGACCACTAGAAATGCAAATCCATGTCAAAACTAGATAAAACCCGTACCACTAGAAAAACAGACAGTTCACAGATTGAGGAAAGATGCCAAGATGAGAGCTACATTCTTTTCAGTTCACGTGTCTGCTATCATAAAGTAACAAAGAAAACTCTCTTTCACTGTGAACGCCCATTTCCTCAGATGTAACTGAAACATAAAACCCGTTTTTCCTGAGGCAGAAAAAAGAACCACCTCCAGCTTCCTCTCTCTGAGGTATACTGCCTTTATAGGATGGCTAGAACTAAAAATGTAGCTAGAATTAGTGCTGAAACAAGAAATGCTGCCTTAGAATGGAAACTATCTAATGAAGTAAGAAGGGACTATAGTTATAGATTAACTTTTCAAGCCAAAACTGTCTTAATTAAAATATATTTTACTCATTTTTTCCTTTCTTATTTCTTTCCTTACCAAGTTACTTCTCTCAGTCCTTCCACACTTGAATTGCTGCTCTGCGCTTTGTCACACTTGCTTTAGACTCTGAATACCTTAGGCCTGGGAACGTATGCCTAGGAAGGTGTTGCATTCTGCACTGCATTTGCTACAAAGTACAACACTCTAAGAATGACCAGTGCCAGTAATTGCAGAGTCCTCTTTCTCTTCAAGGCACATATCATCAATAAACTAACTAAGAGAGCCCTTCGCCTGGCAATGCGCCACCCTCGCCCACGCTATTTACTGAAAGAATTTGTGTAAAGTCCAGTACTATACAATAGGAAGATAACGAATGCCTTACGGGACCAGACCACAGATTCATATAGTTCAACAGTCTGTTTCCAACAATGGGTATAAGAGATGCCATTTAGGAAGAGAGCACAAACCCGACCACTTTCAATATTCAGTTCTCCTCAGATTTTCCCAGCGTACAAGAGCACTGTATTAGGAAAGTTAGCACTTACATACCTGCCCAGAACTTTTAGCGTCTATTTACGGACTTGTCATACATACACTTACTGGTGCAAATTTCCTGAAAGTTTTTATCTAATTTGCTTAAAGCATTAATAATCTTAGTAAATGTACTGAACATTTATTTAAGAATATGTCACACAAGGAAAAAAAGTGTGTATGATAAGTAGGCTCAATGAGGCCATTTTAGTCTCAAACTCAGCTTTTCTCTATAGATGCTTCCATTTCCAAGCAAACTTACTGTGGCATAGAGCCACTCCACAAAATGCCTCAGGGAAGACATCATGGAGCCCATCAGCTAAAGAGAAAAATGACAAATTCCAGCTCAAGAAGTTACATTCTGCAACACTAATTTCAACTTCTTTCTTCTCCTCTCATCCCTATTATTTTTCATTACACTGTTATTTAATATTGGAGGGAGTTATACACAGTTGCTGAATTCCAACCCAAGGAAGCTATATTTTAGTGTTGGGTGGTAATTCCCAAATATTTCAAGTGTGGTTCCACTAGCAGAACCATCTAATACTGTTGAAAGGAAAAGCGCTTGCTTTCCCTATTTTTCAGCATAGGGATAGGCCATTGAGGTCCTTTCTCCTTTCTTGTGGCCAACCTGGTGCTTCTCACATGTTTCCATGACTGATAATTTACTAATCCAATAAAAAATAGCCTTTTATAGACTTTTTGCTTGGTTAGTTTTATGCCTTGTTAGCAACTCAGAACAGGGAGGGCTACAGCGAAACCAGTACTGGCAATATAAGCAGCAGGAACATGTGGCCAGGGCCATGGAAGAAGAGAGGGCATAGGAACTCTGTGGAAATTAAATGTTAATTTATCTCACTGCATCTCATATCCTTCAGCTAAAAATTTCACCATTTTGGAATGGAAATTATGTCTGATGAAAATGAGTGCAAAAGCCATTCTCTAACATAATGAATGCAAACACTGTTCAATAGTAGAGCAGCTCAGCCCATACAGGTCTTGTTCTTTCTTATTCTTCGCTACTGCAGAGAGTCCAGCGGAGGGCTACAAAGATGATGAGGGGACTGGAGCATCTCTCCTATGAAGAAAGGCTGCCAGAGCTGGGCCTCTTCAGCCTGGAGAAGAGAAGACTGAGAGGTGATCTGATCAAGGTGTATAAGTATCTGAAGGGGGGGTGTCAAGAGGATGAGGCCAGTCTCTTCTCAGTGGTGCCCAGCAACAGGACAAGAGGCAACGGGCAGAAACTGAACCACAGGAAGTTCCATCTGAACCTGAGAAAAAACTTCTTCACTGTGAGGGTGACAGAGCATTGGAACAGGTTGCCCAGAGAGGTTGTGGAGCCTCCTTCCCTGGAGATATTCAAAACCCATCTGGATGTGATCCTGGGAACTATGCTCTAGAGGACCCTGCTTGAGCAGGGA